GCATCTAGACTGGTATTTTTGCTCTAAACTGGGATTCTCCCTAGTCCCCACTTGTGAGAGCTGCACTGGCTCCCTATCAGGACAAGAATTTAATTAAAAATGCACTTATTATACAGCTATTAAGATTAATGAACTCAAGCACCATGCAGATATGCTTGCACATTTTACATCAGGCTTAGTAATGTTTCTGTGAATTGCCACAGACCCTTTCACACTGATTAAGCCTTGTGCTGTTGGGGAGAAAATATTCGCAGAGTCTTTTCTTACATAGCTCCAAGTGTTTAATAGGTTGACAAGATCTATTAAAGGTCAAAAATCTGTTCATGCTTTCAAGTCTCAGCTGAGTGCATGTCTCTTTTCTAGAGCTTATGATCCTGATGATCATACTGTCATGCTTGAATATAAAATTTAGTATTTCTTCATCACCATTGTTGTTGCATTTATGGCTTGGTGTGTGAGTGTTTGTGAATTCCTTGAAAGACAATGCACTCAAAAATAACATTATTATATTATTACTACTATTATATATTTATTATTATATATTATATACTTATTATTCCTAGGTAGTAGGTTGGTAGACAGCAACCACCCAGGGAGGTACTACCGTCCTGCCAAGTGAGTGTAAAATGAAAGCCTGTAATTGTTTTACATGATGGTAGGATTGCTGGTGTCTCTTTTTTTCTGTCTCATAAACATGCAAGATTTCAGGTACGTCTTGCTACTTCTACTTACACTTAGGTCACACTACACATACATGTACAAGCACACCCCTCTGGGTTTTCTTCTATTTTCTTTCTAGTTCTTGTTCTTGTTTATTTCCACTTATCTCCATGGGGAAGTGGAACAGAATTCTTCCTCCGTAAGCCATGCGTGTTGTAAGAGGCGACTAAAATGCCGGGAGCAAGGGGCTAGTAGCCCCTTCTCCTGTATAAATTACTAAATTTAAAAAGAGAAACTTTCGTTTTTCTTTTTGGGCCACCCTGCCTTGGTGGGATGCAGCCGGTTGAAAAAAAAAAAATATTTATTATACATTATATATTTATTATTCTTAGGTAGTAGGTTGGTTGACAGCAACCGCCCAGGGAGGTACTACCGTCCTGCCAAGTGAGTGTAAAACGGAAGCCTGTAATTGTTTTACACGATGGTAGGATTGCTGGTGTCTCCTTTTTTTTCTGTCTCGTACACATGCAAGATTTCAGGTACATCTTGCTACTTCTACTTACACTTAGGTCACACTACACATACATGTACAAGCACACTCCTCTGGGTTTTCTTCTATTTTCTTTCTAGTTCTTGTTCTTGTTTATTTCCTCTGATCTCCATGGGGAAGTGGAACAGAATTCTTCCTCCGTACGCCATGCATGTTGTAAGAGGCAACTAAAATGCCGGGAGCAAGGGGCTAGTAACCCCTTCTCCTGTATATATTACTAAATGTAAAAGGAGAAACTTTCGTTTTTTCCTTTTGGGCCACCCCGCCTCGGTGGGATACGGCTGATGTGTTGAAAGAAGAAAGATTTATTATTATATAATATACAATTATAATTAATTGTCACCCTGCCTCGGTGGGAGACGGCCGACTTGTTGAAAAAAAAAAAAATATATATAATTATTATTCCTAGGTAGTAGGTTGGCTGACAGCAACCGCCCAGGGAGGCACTACTGTCCTGCCAAGTGAGTGTAAAACGGAAGCCTGTAATTGTTTTACACGATGGTAGGATTGCTGGTGTGTCTTTTTTTTTCTGTCTCGTTTTCTGTCTCTGGGTTTTCTTCTATTTTCTTTCTAGTTCTTGTTCTTGTTTATTTCCTCTTCCCTCCATGGGGAAGTGGAACAAAATTCTTCCTCCATACGCCATGCGTGCTGTAAGAGGCGACTAAAATGCCAAGAGCAAGGGGCTAGTAACCCCTTCTCCTGTATATATTACTAAATGTAAAAGGAGAAACTTTCGTTTCTTTTGGGCCACCCCCGCCTCGGTGGGATACGGCCGGTGTGTTGAAAGAAAGATATATATTGATATTATATATTTATTACTATATATAGTGGTACCTGGGTATATATCTGCTATGGAGTAAGTCCAACTTGGTATACGTCCTGTTTGGACATGAAAATTTTTGCTTGGTATAAGACCTTTGTTTGGAATACGACTCGTGTGCTAGAGCTTGTATGGGTCAAATGAGTTGTGCTTGGGCCAAGTGTAAGAAGTTATTTAGAGGAGAAAAACCTGCATCTGAAGTCTCTCCTCATAATGGACAATGCTCCAGCTCACCCTCCAAGCTTGCAGGACTATATGCTGCCGGAGTTTGACTTATCACTGTACAGCTTCTCCCCCCTAACACGACTCCTCTCATTCAGCCCATGGATCAGCTGGTCATCCAGAGGTGCTTTAAAGTGACTTCTGACACAGAGTTAACCCTGAGAGAGTTTTGGAAAGATCACTTTACTATCTCCCATTGCATAACTTTCATTGACAAAGCCTGGCAGGAAGTTTCATACAGAACAATGAACTCTGCTTGGAGGAATTTGTGGCCAGAAGCAGTGGCTGAAAGGGACTTTGAGGCTGTGTCTACAGTGGAGGATATTGTCTGTCTGGGCAGGTCCATGGGTCTGGATGTGAGTGATGGTGATGAGTTAGTGGAGGGGCATGGGGAAGAGCTGACCACTGAGGAGCTGCAGGAACTTGAGGAGGAGGAGCACAAGACTAATATGGATGCACTCTCTTCAGGCTTGGAAGAGAAGATAGAAGCACCTACTTCATTAATCAAGGAAATCTTTGCCAAATGGATGAACATCAAAAACTTTGCAGAAAAGTACCACCTCAACAAAGCCCAAACAAGCTGTAATAGCATTGTCTGGAATGACCAGACAATGTCACATTTCTGAAACATCCTGAGGAGAAGGCAGAAGCAAAGTTCTTTGGACAGATTTTTAATAAAAGTCAAACCTGGTGAGCTTCAACCAGATCCAAATAGGGAAAAGAGAAGGGGATTCTCCTTCCAAACAATAATATTTCCTCCTCCTCCCTTCTCGGCACTATCCTAGTAGGCGCTCGACTCTTTTCAGCAAAGTAAAGTGAGGTTAAATTTGCATTTACAGTGGTACCTCGAGTTTCAAACAGCTCCCAACTCAAACAATTATGTAAGTGTACTTTTGTAAGTGCTTTTGTTAGTGTATTTTTGGGGGTCTAAAACGGACTAATCTAATTTGCATTATTCCTTATGGGAACAAATTTGTTCGGTATTGGCACTCGAACAGCCTTCTGGAACGAATTAAGTTCGTAATTCGAGGTACCACTGTATTTTATCTAATTCTTTTGTATTTTTGTATGTATTTTAGTATTAAGCAGTGTTTAAATTACATATTTTAGTATTAAACAGTGTTTATAGTATTTTATACAGCCCCACCAATGTATAATGTGCCAATAACAATAAGATTTTTTTTCATGGGAACGGATTAATCGTTTTCCCTATACGTATTTCTTTTGGGAAAGTTCGTTTGGTATACGTCCTGTTTGGTATAAGTCCAAGGTCCTGGAATGGGTTAAGGACGTACACCGAGGTACCACTCTATTATTGTTATTACAAAAATTTTTTAAACTACTTATAACCCACGTTAAAAAAAATATAATGGAAAAAAGATCTCCACGAACAGTTCTAAATCTGCTGGAAATATAGTCAAACAGGAAAAAAAAAATTGCAAAGCTACAACATAGCAATCCAGATAATAATAATAATAATAATAATAATAATAATAATAATAATATACAGTGGACCCTCGGCTATCGGCCCTAATCCATTCCAGAAGGTTGGCCTAAATCCGAAATGGCTGAAAACAGAAATAATATTTCCCATAAGAAATAATGCAAATCCAATTAATCCATCTCAGACACCCAAAAGCATTAACAAAAAATACAATTATAGAGAATAACTATAGTTTTACATGCACAAAACAATGAGAAATAAATATAAAGCACAAATTTTAATGATAAATGAACATCACATACCTTTATTAAAGACTCTTGTTGGCATACTGAAGGTGAGGAGGGGAGAGGGAGTTGGGAATCCTCCTCCATAAGGACTTCAAGTATCAAAGCCCTATCTAAGGCTTTGACACTGCCACAGTACATTCATTACTTACCTTAAAATATTTGTAGTCTCGATGTAGGGCGAGAGGTGAGTAGCATTTATCTGTAGGAATTCAGTGTAAGTAGCCGGTAGATGTAGTATTACATAGACATACCATGTTCACTGAGTTTAATCGTTTCTAACAACTACCTTTAGATGCTGTCATAAACAAAGGGAGAGGAAATGAATAATTCATGCTGAGAATTGTAAACAAATGCTCATGAAGGGCGGTGACTGGACCAGATGCCAGCTTCAGAGTTTTCTCTAACGTTGAATCAGTGAAAACGTGATGTTTACCCTCCACCCTCCTCCTTGATTCGCCGGTACTCACCACTTGATAGCATATAAACATTGCATGTTTATATGCTATGTAATGTGTTTCTTATATAATTTTGAAAAAAAATATCATAGATGAATTAATGAAAATGTCTATATTAACCTAAAATAAGACATTTAATGTGCCCAAGACTGATTATTATTATGCGTCCACACGGCCAATCTCTGAAATAACAGCTGATAACTGGGATAGAATTTCAGCCAAAAAAGTGGGCGAAAACCGAATTGGCCGATATCCGGAATGGCCGATAACCAAGGGTCCACTGTAATAATAATAATAATGTTTATTTCTTTATGCCATACAAATAATATAGTTTAAATGAAAAATTACATTGGTAGGCAAAAATGAAAGTCACTAATTACACAGTGCATTTTGGGGAAGTAATTATAAGGCTTGCACATTACTACTTCAGAACTAGACAAAGATTTATTTTAACTATATTGCTTTCATCTTACCTCTGTACTCTATCTCTCCATAAAAAGCACAAGTACAGTACAGTACTAAATATAAAAGTACAGTATGTAGCAAATATAATAAAGTATACCTCTTTGTACAGGCTATGAAATGCAGAATATCTCTTCTCAAGCTTATGGACGCGTCCCACGTAGCAAACTTCTAAGCAATAGACATAATGGCTCCTGCCCCCTTCACCCTCTACTTGTCGATAGCGGGGGATGTATGCACGTATCATTCCGGGCATATGCTGTAATATTGCATTATTATTCATTAATATGTACATAAAAAATCAAATATATTCAGTACAACCTTGATTTACACGAGCCTCCCAAAAAGACAACTATAACAATATGTGATTGAAATAATACAACCATAAATCAACCTGCACTGAAAAGTCCCAAATGCACATACATTAAAGTGTGAAAAAGTCATCATGGAACTGCATATGTAATGGCACTTATATGCCTTAACTCCTTGATCCAGTGGCTGTAACAATGCTATCATAGTCAGTGGTAAAAATATGTACAATCTGCACATTTGGGTCCAGAGACTGCAAGATTTCAGGATGACTATGGGAATTATGAAGAGTCAGGAGAACCTTGAATGCAAGGTTCTTCCTGGCCAGGTACATCTTACCGAAGGAGTCAAGTAATGCTTGAACTAATCAACGAACAGGGCATCAGTCATCTGTGCTGCCCTGTAAGATTGCCAAATAATAAACAGAAAGGTTTTGTTTCGTCCAGTCCTTTGCTGCTTTGAGCCCAGGTGCCAATTTTCTTGCTTGCTGATGCAAGATATTAGGTAAGTTTATTCAGGTATACACAAATACAGTTACATAGATTATCATACATGGCAGCATATGTGTAAAGAACCTTGGACAACCCAAAAACAAGGCAGACAGAGTGACTTCTCTTCCATTATAACCCTGTCTCATCTGCATTAAGCACTTGCTTGGGAATGTAATAATTCTCAGAAATAATTTATGCAAACTCAGCAGAGAAAATTTCTAGTGTCAATATGATATGCTGACACACCCTCGTCATTCAACTTTGCTATGCAGTAGACTAAGTGTAAGTGGTTGTGAAGGCTTCCTTGCATCTTACACACAGTTTCATTGTAGGATAATGACTTTTGCTTTATTATCTTAGCACTAAGTGGGCATCTTTCCCTTTGTTTCCCCTCAATCCACACACTAGGTAATTGGTCTAATTTCTTTAGCAGTAGTAACCTATTTGTTATTCTTTCCAGTAGGTTACAATCTGGATTGCTCAATGCACAGCCTCTTCATGTTCTTCTCACTGTCTTTAATGGTATGAATGGTTGATTCTCTGAGGCCAAAGGAATGGGTAGTTTGAAGCAGTCCTAAAACCTCAATTTTCTTTGAAACTGTCAAAGTTCCATGTTTATGTTTGCTCTTGCTGTATCCAGCATCATTAGCATTACTTTTGGCTGACATGGCTAATATCCAGAGAAGAGATGGACTGATGATGATACCCAAAACTATTCAATAAACACCAAGTGAATAAGGCATGCCATGCTTCCAGAATGCAACTGTTGGCAACATGGGTGAGGGGGTGGGGGGAGTAAAAGGGGGTGATACTAGGTCTCTCCAAGAACAATGGATATGTCCATAGGCTTAATCTGGCCAGGGAATTATTCCACAGAGCAGCAATCTGAGATTTTGCAAGGAGCTCAGCTCAATGCTGAATTTTTCACATTTTATGGCACATATGCTTGGGGTTTTTTCTGACTGAATCAGTCTACAGTTACAGTTGTTCAAATGAGCTGGTTTGAATATACATTCTAGTGGTTTTGAGCTAAGTGGGGGGTTTACTGTACTGTATTTGTGTGTTAATGTATAGTGTTTTACATACATTTACATTCTTCATGAAAGTAAACAATAAACATCAAATTTTGTAAATCATGTATGAGAATAAAGACAAACATTTTTGGCAATTATACTGCAGTTCCATGCAATGCAATGTTCATATAAGTGAATGGACAGTACCACAATCAAATAGAAAAATAAAAATACACAAACATTAATTCCAAGAACTCTTGTAATGTTGTGAAAAAAATAAGGAAAACACCTGCAAGAAAGAAAATGACTTTACATCTATACTGTATCACCAAAAAGAACTTGAAACAAAAGGAATGCTATAATAGTACACTATATTCACATAAATTTAGCACGTAAAGAATGCAACTATTAAGACAAGACAGTTTTACTAAACAAGCCAAGGCAAAAGCAATATATGTTGTCAACCTTATTTCAGTAAATAAAGCATAGGCTGTCAAAATAAATGTGTAAAGAGGGAGTAATCATAACAAGTAGCAGGGCACTGGCAATTGTGAAGCTGTTGAAAAATCCCCTTCATAGATGTGTTCACACAGTGGCTGAAGAATGGAATGGTGTACTACAACTGTTATAACTTCTGGCAGGAAAAATTTTTTTTTAGAAATTTTTAAGAAAGAACAGCATGACTCTTTTCCAATTACTTTTCTAACAGCTTACCTTCCTAAATGTTGAATCATAACTGACAATCAGGGCATGCTAACCCAGCCCCAAAATGTGGGAAAGCTTTGAGCCACTGGGTCAATGATTGGCTTTGATGTCGCTTTTTAGCAGTGGTAATGGTTGTACTTGAACCCTTAATTCTTCCAAGAATACCTCATTATTTACTATATATCTTTTTTTACCATCTATAGCCCATTCATTTCTTCCAGCCAGCTAAACATTAATAAGTAGACAACTTTACCTTTACAGAAGCCCATTACTATACAAGCCCATTACTATACATAGACTAATTATCTCACAATCAGTTATTTGACTTCCAACAATACCCAGCAGGCTTGTTCAATCTGGCACTTAAACAGGTAATGCAAAAAAAAAAGGACCATAAAAAATTGTGTCCATCTGGTGTTGTTGAGAAGCCAAGTCACCCTTTTTCCAGAAGGGATCAGATAATCCATGATCTACATACAGCCTCTTGACGTACTCATTTATCGATGACTCAGACTTACGATGGGCTCTCTGACCAGTGTGCACACCTAAACAGTGTATATTAGAGCTGATTTCCTCTATTCTTTTTATTACAATATACAGTACACTATTGTATAAACATTTAAAAAATATCATGAATGTTATAAATGGTGCAAAAGTGACAGTAAAACAACATCAAAGACGGTTAACACAAACCCACTTCCACTATAGTATGCTCCTCACTTAGCGATGTGGTCTTAGGAATGGAACTCTGATATTAAGTGAGGAGAGGCTGTATTGTTTGAGGCACTGTTATGCAGGTTTCTGCACTGAATTGTAATATGTATTATGGAGAAGTGTGCCGTAATTTTATAAACCATGTTATTATTGTGAACTATAATTTTATATCTTTATTTGGGTGTATGTGCTGAGGGAAATGTGGGTGTGCATATTTAGTGTCTGTATATATTGTTGGAAGTAATAAATATACACAGCATCTCCTCATTTAACGATGGAGTTCTGTTGCCAAGACCATGTCGGTAAACGAATTTGTCGCTAAATGAGGAGCATACTTACTATAATAGTACACTGCAGTGGGTTTGTGTCAACCAACTTTGATATTATTTTAATGTCACCTTTGCACCATTTGTAGCATTTCTTATATATTTTTAAATGTTCATACAGTAGTGTACTGTACAGTGCATCCCCGGTTTGCGATGGCATCGGTATCCGATAAATCCGGTATTTGATACATTTTAACGCAAAAATTTTGCCTCGGTTCCCGTTAAAAAACCCGGTATACGCGATTTGTCCGAGACGTGTCCAAGTGTGGCCTGAACTGCCCCGTGTGTGCCAGTGTTTACAAGCCAGCCAGTGTGCTCGCATCTAAGGATACATTCGGTACATTCCATATTATCACAGTGTTTTTGGTGCTTGTTTCTGCAAAATAAGTCACCATGGGTCCCAAGAAAGCTTCTAGTGCCAACCCTTCAAGAAAAAGGGTGCTAATGACTATTGAAATGAAGAAAGAGATATAATTGCAAAGTACAAAAGTGGAGTGCGTGTGTCGGAGATGGCCAGGTTGTATACAAAACCCCAATCAACCATCGCTACTATAGTGACCAGGAAAACAGCAATCAAGCAAGCTGTTGTTGCAAAAGGTGCAACTGTGATTACGAAACAGCGACCGCAAGTGTTAGATGATGTTGAGAGACTGTTATTGGTGTGGATAAATGACAAACAGATAGCAGGAGATAGCATCTCTCAAGCGATCATTTGTGAAAAGGCTAGGCAGTTGCATGACGATTTGGTAAAGAAATTGCCTGCAACTAGTGGTGATGTGAGTGAATTTAAGGCACTACGATTTAAGAATCGTAGTGGCATACACAGTGTGATTAGGCATGGTGAGGCTGCCAGTTCGGACCAAAAAGCAGCTGAAAAATATGTGAAGGAATTCAAGGATTACATACAGTGAAGACTTGAAACCTGAACAAGTGTTTAATTGTGACGAAACAGGCCTGTTTTGGAAGAAATTGCCAAGCAGGACCTACATTACTCAGGAAGAAAAGGCACTCCCAGGACATAAGCCTATGAAAGACAGGCGTACTCTTCTGATGTGTGCCAATGCAAGTGGTGATTGCAAAGTAAAGCCTTTATTGGTATATCACTCAGAAACTCCCAGAGCGTTCAGGCAAAAGAATATCCTCAAGGCTAATTTGTGCGTGCTGTGGAGGGCAAACAGTAAGGCATGGGTCACTAGGGACTTTTTCTATGACTGGTTACACCATGCATTTGCCCCCAATGTGAAAAATTACCTAATTGAAAAGAAATTAGACCTTAAGTGCCTCCTGGTATTAGACAATGCCCCTGGTCATCCTACAGACTTGGCAGAGTGACTTTCTGGGGACATGAGCTTCATTAAGGTCAAGTTTTTGCCTCCTAATACCACTCCTCTCCTGCAGCCCATGGACCAGCAGGTCATTTCCAACTTCAAGAAACTGTACACAAATGCTATGTTTGAAAGGTGCTTTGAAGTGACCACAGACACTCGATTGACTCTAAAAGAGTTTTGGAAGGATCACTTTAATATCCTCAATTGTGTAAACCTTATAGGTAAGGCTTGAGAGAGAGTGACTAAGAGGACCTTGAACTCTGCTTGGAAAAAACTGTGGCCAGAATGTGTAGACAAAAGGGATTTTGAAGGGTTTGAGGCTAACCCTGGGAATACTATGCCAGTTGAGGAATCCATTGTGGCATTGGGGAAG